TGGTTTTCTAATGATTTATTGGAGATAAGAATCTCATGGACTTTTCTGCCCGGGCTGGCTTTGAACCACAGTCCTCAGATCCCAGCCTTTTGAGTAGCTAGGATTGCAGGTGTGAGCCACTGGTGCTTGTTTACTCTTATTTCCTTCTAGATTCTGGGTGGATTTGTTTGCTTTTTTTATTATTTTTTTTTAAATAAGGTCTTACTATGTGGCTGGCCTTGAACTCATCATCCTTCTGGCATTATAGGCCTGTACCACCACACCTGGCTGTTTCCTTTTAAGATTTAATGTTGGAGGGGTATGTGTGTTACTTTCTGTGGTTCTTTGAGTTTTAGCTTCTGTCATTCCTCTTTATAGATTAAGTTGTCCTTGAGAGCCAGGCACTGGTGGCTCACAACTATAATTCTAGCTGCTCAGGAGGCTGAGATCTGAGGATCACAGTTCAAAAGCCAGCCTGGGCAGAAAAGCCTATAAAACTTTTTTTTTGGTCTTGGGGTTTGAACTCTGGGCCTGAGCACTGTCCCTGAGCTCTTCAGCTCAAGCCTAGTACTCTACCACTGAGCCACGGCACCACTTCTTGTTTTCTGGTGGCTCATTAGAGATAAGAGTCTCATGGACTTTCCTGCCCAGGCTGACTTTGAACCGTGATCCTCAGATCTCAGCCTCCTGAGTAGCTAGGATTACAGGTGTGAGTGTTGGCAATATTTATTTATTTATTTATTTATTTATTTTGCCAGTCTTGGGGCTTGAACTTGGGGTCTGGGCACTATCTCAGAGCTTCTTTTGCTCAAGGCTAGCACTCTACCACTTGAGACACAGCACCACCTCCAGCTTTTTCTGTTTTTGTGGTACTGAGGAATTGAACCCAGGGCTTCATGCATGGTAGGCAAGAACTCTACCACTAAGCTACCTTCCCAGCCTTTAAGGTATAGCCCAGGCTGACGTAGAACTCATGATCCTCTGCCTCATCCTTGTTGTTTACTGGCGTGGGCCACCATGGCCAGCACCTGTAAAACTCTTATCTCCAATTAACCACCAGAGAGCTGTGGCATAAGAGATAGAGCACCAGTCCTGAGCCAAAAAAGCTAAGGAAGAATGCCCTGGCCCTGAGTGCAAACCTCAGTAATAGCACACATGCTCAAAAAAAGGTTAACCTTGAGAACAGGATGTCCTATTTTGCATACATTTTTTCCAGTTGTGCTCATGTTTGTAATTTCTTGAGCCTTGCAGCTCTTTATGATATCAGAAGTATCTTGTTCTCCCAGCCCTTAGAGCTCCTTAGAACATTCTTAAAGCTTTATAAAGAACCTCTAAAGTAAGCACCTGTGAATCACAACCTGAGGGTTGATCCTCAAAGCCAGCCTGAGCATTCAAATCCAGGAGCCTTTCCTCCATTTAGCCAGCAAAAAGCCAGAACTGGAGGCATATCTCATGGTAGAATGTCAGCTGTTGGCACAAGAAAGCCAAGTAAGAACACAAGGTCCTGAGTTTAAGCCCCAGTATTGGCAAATACACCACACACACACAGACTCACACACAGACACAGACACACACACAGCCTTCTGGATTGGTGATGGTTTTTGGGGGAAGTGGTTTCATGTATAAACAAAAAATAATTAACCTAGCAAATATAAGGCAAAATTCAATCCCCAAGACCACCAAAATAATTGTTTCAGTTAATTCCTATTGAAAAATAAATGCTAACTCATTACATAACAGAGCCCTCTGAGCAGGCTGAGCTTCCCGAGATCTCCACTGGCCCCTTTTCATTTCTTTCAACTAACGTCAATTGAACACTTGCCATATGCAGAGCTGTGAGCAGGGCCATGTGGTCTATTCTCCCTTTGTGGTTCTGTCTGGAGCCCTGGCTCATACTGTGGGGACTGGCAAAGTAGATGCCCCACTGCGCAACTTGTACCATCAAATGCAGCAGTCTCCTCTGAGATCCCTTTGCAGGACTTACATCATTAAACAAGGCTGTCTTCTCTGCTCTTTCCTGCAGCTCCCATTGCAAAAGGCCATCCACCTTTCCCACTTTGCAAAGCAAGAGGAAAATGGCATTGTGTCCTTTTTTTTTATCCTGATTATCAGCAGTCTTTCTTCCTTTATTCTGTCAGGGTCCACAAAGGACTCAAGGCAACCTCAGACAGCCCATGCTTGTTTCCCATTGATTACTGAAACAAAGAATCAGCTAGGGGGATATCTTCATAAATATTAGCCAGTACAAGCCAAACCTGGAGAAACAGTTGTGCTGAAAAAATTGCTACCTTGGTTTGTTTCCAGGGAATATAAATTGACCCATCCTGTGTTGCACAATTTCATGTTGCCCCTGCATAGCAAGTGCAAAGGAGATGTGTATGAGCTGTGCATGGTGGCTCATTCCTGTAATCCTTGCACTCAGGAGGCTGAGGCAGGAGGATTTCAGGTTTAAGCCTTCCTGGGAAAGGGCAAGTTAGCTCCAAGACAGCTTGAGTTACATAATGAGACTGTGTCTCAAAAAACTAATTGGGATTGGGAAGGTGGCTCCGTGGTAGAGTGCTTGCCTTGCATGCATGAGGCTCTGGGTTCGATTCCTCAGCACCAAATAAGCAGAAAAAGCCTGAAGTGGCACTGTGGTAGAGTGCTAGCCTTGAGCTGAAGAACTGAGGGACAGAGTGCAGGCCTTACAACCAACCAAAAAAAAAAAATCAACTACAACAAAAACAGCCAAAAAGGTGTTTATGATACAAAGGAAATTCATTACATGGCATGGCATACCATGAGAAGATAGTACTTAGCTATCTAAGGGGCAGGGGACCACAAGTATATATAATTATTAAACAGTCCTGGTCAAAGTGTGGACCTGGTTGATCATTATTTTAGTTATCAGCACTGGTCAGGATAGACAAGTTATCATTTGCTTAAAGGATAGTCTCCTAAGGAGGCTCTATTGTTCCTTAAGGGTTGTTATGGTCTCTGGCCATTTTAAAGATGTTACCCTCCTGGATTCCAAGGTGAGTGCAAGGTGATTTCAGAGAGAATGGGCTTAAAGCAAAGATACTTTAAAAATGGGGGCAGGTATGTCAAGCTTTACCTGTTTTTTTATTTTAGTACATTCATGGTCCCATGTAAGGAGTAGTGTTTTTCAGCAAATTATTCTTTTTTTGGGGGGGAGGGGTCCGGTTGTAGGGCCTGAACTCTGGGCTTGGGTGCTGTCCCTCAGCTCTTCAGCTCCAGACAAGCTCTCTACTGCTTGAGCTACAGCACCACTTCTGGTTTTCTAGTGGTTTATTAGAGATAATAGTCTCACGGACTTTCCTGCCCAGGCTGGCTTTGAACTGTGATCGTCAGATCTCAGCCTCCTGAATAGCTAGGATTACAGGCGTGAGCCACTGGTGCCCGGCTTAGCAAATTATTCTTCATACCCTCTTCTTTCTCCTCTTCTTCCTTTTTCTTTCCTAACTTGCTTCCTTTTTTTTAAAGACAGTCATGTGCCATCACACCTGTATACAGGTAAATTGGAAGTTTTTTTGGTCTGATCCCTTAGCTACCATCCTCCTTCTCAGATGGATGAAACAGAATCCCCTCATCTATAGAACATAGCACTGTGCTGAGACGATGTGACTGAACAAGTTACATGACATCTTCAAGCCTGTTTCCTCGTGTGTATGATGGAGTTTACAGCCATTCATCATTCTAATGACGGGAGTGAACGAAATAATACCTAGAAACCCCTGCCTTTAATAGAGACTCAGAACATGATCACTTCTTAATAAATCTCAGAATACTATCTCAGAAGCCTCTGCCATGTATTGTAGGGGCTTGATCCTTTTATCTTTTATCTGTTGGTCCCAAAAAGCTATTGATGTAGTAGACACTTACTAAGTGCTTTTTGAGTGAAAGAGGAGAGCTTAGTACTATTGTACTTCACATAATGAGTTTTCCATTGGGCAATGAAAGACACCTTGAGGGACTGGGAATTTGGCTTAGTACTAGAGTACTTGCCTAGCATTCATGAAGCCCTGGGTTCGATTCCTCTGTACCACATAAACAGAACTGGTGCTATGGCTCAAGTGGTAGAGTGCTAGCCTTGAGCTCAGGGACAGTGCTCAGGCCCTGAGTTCAAGCCCCAGGACCAGCATTAAAAAAAAAAAAAAAGTTTGGTACAACTTGTGAAGAGAAAAAACCTGTCTCCTCATCTTCCCCAAGCTCATTGGCACTTACAGGGTGCTAATAGGACCTCCTGACTCTTCAGGATAAATCCTGTGTGTGATGCCTTTAGAACTGTATAGGGGGGGCTGGGAAGGTGGCTCAGTGGTAGAGCACTTGCCTTGCATGCATGAGGCCCTGGGTTCAATTCCTCAGCACCACATAAGCAAAAAAAAGCCGGAAGTGGCGCTGTGGCTCAAGTGATAGAGCACTAGCCTTGAGCTGAAGAGCTGAGGGACAGCGCCCAGGCCCACAACCGGACCCAAAAAAAAAGAAGAAGAAAAAAAAAAAAAAACAGTGTAGGGCGAGGTGAGCAGTACCAAGGAGCTGCTGGACTGTGGTATAAGTGGCTTTTACTCTGTGGAGACTCAGATGACCCAGGCCCTTTGTTCAAGCCCCAGGACTGGCACATACACACACACTCAAAAAAAAAAAAAAATTATCCTCCAGGGCTGGGAAGGTGGCTCAGTGGTAGAGTGCTTGCCTTGCATGCCTGAGGCCCTGGGTTCAATTCCTTAGCACCACATAAGCAAAAAGAAAAGCCGGAAGTGGTGCTGTGGCTCAAGTGGTAGAGCGCTAGCCTTGAGCTGAAGAGCTGAGGGACAGCGCCCAGGCCGACCGGACCCAAAAAAAAAAAATTATCCTCCAAAATCTGACCAGCCATAGTCTAATATGTCATTTGCGTGGGAAAGATAAACTGCTATCTTCCCCTGCCTCATGTGTGCTAAATGCCCTTCCTCTTCCCGCTTCTGCTCATCCTAACTGAAAATTGAACAGAACACAGCTCAGAGTCACCCCTCTCTGTCTTGCAGAGTCCGGCCACTAATAAGGAACCAAAATGACTGACTCAAAATACTTCACCACAACTAAGAAAGGTACTGTGTTTTCATTCTGGGTCTGTCCTATTTGCCTTGCTTGACCCTTCTGAGTGCTTTCTGGAGAGCTGGAGCAGGAATAGGGTGAAGACCAGAAGGCACTAATGAGAGCGGCCTAGAGCTTCTTTACCTGTGGATCCAGAACCTTGAGTTGTTGCTAGTGTAAGGAATTGATTGATTGCTCCTTTTAGAGCTCAGGAACGGAAAGGTAGGTATCAGCCTTAAGTGTGGGAAAAAGCTTTTCCCCTTTTTCTTCCCTGTAGTTTAAAAATGTTTGACTATAATGGGCTTCTTTTCTCTTTCTCCCCCTCTCCCTCTCTCCCTTCTCTTTTCTCCCTTTCCCTTTCCCTCTGTCCCTCTCCCATATCTTGGGGCTGGAATTCAGGACTTAGGCACTGTCCCTGAGCTTTCATATTCAAGGCTAGCACTCTACCACTTGAGGCACATATCTACTTTATGCTTTTTGGTGTTTAATTGGAGATCAAGGTCTCATGGACTTTCCTTCCTGGGCTAGATTTGAACTATAATCCTCAGATCTCAGCCTCCTGAGTAGCTAGGATTATAGGCATGAGCCACCAGCACCTGGCTTCTTTCTCTCTTTTGGGGAGGCCTGGACAATTAAAAACAAAAGGAAGTAGAGCTGTGGCTCAAAGAGGTAGACTGCTAGCCTTGAGCAAAAAAGCTCAGAGACAGCACCCAGGTCCTGAGTTCAAGCCCCAGGACTGTCACAGAAACAACAAAAACACCATATACTACTATCAGCAACCCCAGATTGCAGTGCATGCGTGTACACTATTGAGTATATACTTGGTCCTCATGGGTGAGCACTTTTTTTTTGAAAAGTTCTCATCCTGTTTTTCCTTTGACATTATCATAAATATTTCCAAGCAGTTCCAATGACTGGTATTAAGTTAACTAAGTTTGCCCCAATAAAATGTGCTAAGCGCTGGGAAGGTGGCTCAGTGGTAGAGTGCTTGTCTTGCATGTATGAGGCCCTGGGTTTGATTCCTCAGCACCACATAAGCAGAAAAAGCCAGAAGTGGAGCTATGGCTCAAGTGGTAGAGCACTAGCCTTGAGCTGAAAAGCTGAGGGTCAGCGCCCAGGCCCAGAGTTCAGGGCCCACAACTGGCAAAAATAAAAAAATTAAAAAATAAAATAAAATGTGCTAAGCTAGGCTTATTTTGTTGGATATTTTGGTTCCTTTTGTTTTTAAGGAAATGGAAATGTTGTGACTGACAAATGTTCTTTAACCCTCTTTAGCTTAGAACTGCAAGATGTACAGATTCCTCCTGGCTCTATTGAGCAATATCCTGAGTGGCCCTTTCTCAAGGCTGTGCTAGATAATGGTTCTTTATTAACCATTTAGCTGTTTCTCAAGTCTCTAGTCTCAGTTCTATAGTGAGCACTATATTATTCAGTCATGTTTTCTTTTTTCTCATTGTAAGTCCACCTAGAACTTTGACAGCACTTTTCCCAACTTAATAGTCCTTCTTTACCTCCACCTCAAGAAAATTGAGCTGGACACTGGTGTCTCACATCTGTAAATCATGGCAGGAGGTTGAGATCTGAGGATGGCAGGTCAAAGCCAGCCCAGACACGAAAGTCTGTGAAACTCTTCAATTAACCACCAAAAAGCTGGAGGTGGAGTGGTAGCTCAAGTAGTAGAGTGAAAAAGCTCAGGGAGGGGTTGGGAAGGTGGCTCAGTGGTAGAGCGCTTGCCTTGCATACATGAGGCCTTGGGTTTGATTCCTTACCACCACATAAGCAGAAAAAGCTGGAAGTGATGCTGTAGCTCAAATGTAAGAGCACTAGCCTTGAGCTGAAATGCTGAGGGACAGTGCCCAGGCCCAGAGTTCAATTCCCTACTACCAACAACAACAACAAAAAGCTCAGGGATAGCACTGCACACAGGCCCTGAGTTCAAGCCCCAGTACCATTGCCAGAAAATAAAATAATAATAATAATAGTAATAGATCTTGAGAAGAAAACTTGGGGCTTCCATTCTACCAAAGACAACTCAATAGCAGCAGCAGCTACTCTTAATACAGGCCACCCAGTGCCAGGCTCCAAGATGAGTGTTCACTTCTGTGTATAGTGCCCAAGCAAGAGGTGGAGGACAGGCAGGGTAACCGGTTCAGAGAGGCAAAGGATCATCTGGGATAGGCCTAAGCCTAAGGACTTAGAGCATGAGCTTCAGAGGGAGCAGGTAGGGTTTTGCACTTTTGCCCTCTCCCCTGCTAGTTGCATGTACATTATTGGACCTTTTACAGCCTCCATTTGCTCATCTGTCAAATGGGGAATGCAGAGTTTGTGTGAAAGTAATGAGGGAGGAGATGTGATGCCAGCTCAGAGAAAGGCTCAGGAAATTCCCTAGCCTGTTAGCTGGTTCTGATTATCTCCACAGAGCAACCTCACTTCCTTGTTTCCTTTGTCCGAATCATCAAGTTCTTAAGAACAATTTATTATATACTAGAGCCCTCATGGGACATTTGAATTCCCATTTCCACCATTTCCAAGCTTAGCAACCACTTGTCACTCAGGAAGTGAAACCCTGAGCCAGCTGTTTGAGCTTGTGGTCCTAGGAAAACAGGAAAGACGTATGGTATTGATCAAATCCTGCTTCCCCTCAATCCTTGAGAACCCAGAGTTTATCACACTCAGCCTTTAGAGTCTTTTTTTTTTGGGTCCAGTCATGGGGCCGGAACTCTGGGCCTGGGCACTGTCCCTCAGCTCTTCAGCTCAAGGCTAGCACTCTACCACTTGAGCCACAGCGCCACTTCTGGCTTTTTTCTTTTTGCTTATGTGGTGCTGAGGAATCGAACCCAGGGCCTTGAGCATGCAAGACAAGCGCTCTACCACTGAGCCACCTTCCCAGCAAGCTTTTAGAGTCTTTACAGTGAAAAAGCTGAAGACAGCTTTGCTTTTTTTTTTTTTTTTTGGGTCAGTCATGGGGCTTGAACTCAGGACCTAGGCCTAGTCCCTGAGCTCTTTTGCTCAAGGTTAGCACTCTGTCACTTAGAGCCACAACTCTACTCCCTCAGGACCTTGCACCACCACCACGACCACTATAGTTCCTATTGCTTCAATTCAACATGGCCTCTAAGCTTCCATCACTGCAATTCCTCTCCTAAGCATCCCTCACTGTTGCATGTCCCACCCAAAGCTAGGGGTCTTACGCTACCTTCTGTCTCCCCCTAGTTCTTTGAGAAGTTAGGGCAGGCATTTGTCCCCTGACAGGGGATAAGGATGGACTCTTCATGCTTGCCTCCTTTTCTTAGGAGAGATCTTCGAGCTGAAGGCCGAGCTCAACAGTGACAAGAAGGAAAAGAAGAAGGAAGCAGTAAAGAAAGTGATTGCATCAATGACCGTGGGCAAAGACGTCAGGTGTGCAGGTGTAGGACAAGTGGCTGCTGGACACTGGCTGATGGGAGGAAGTCCTCGATTGGGTCCAGTTGGGATCTCTCCTTTAGGGCCATCTAGGGACCCATGCCTCCTCATACAGCTCCTTTTGTGAGCCCCTGTTCCAAACAGAATGCTTTGTTTCACAAAAGTCACAAGCTCAAATGCCAGTGGCTCTGGCAGTCACAAAACAAATGAAGCAGATGGGTTGAAAAAGTAGTGGTGGTAGTGTATGTGTCAGGGACCCTCTCAGAAGCTCCAGAGAGTTGCCGCTGCTGGAGATGATGACCCAAGTATGGCCAGCTCTTAAAAAGAATGGGAAATGTGGATTTTTTTGTTTGGTACTCCCTGATTGAAGTTTCCAGACAACATTAAATTTATACACATCCCTGCAGATTGGATTTCTCTGACTTGTTGTTGTTTTGCAACTGGCAGCTGGAGCAGTAGGCGGGCTACTGCACCTTCACTCAAGCGTTCCTGACACCTGGAATGCCCATGACCAGCTTGCTCTCCCATTGCTTAAAGCCCACCCAACACCTGGCTTCTGTTGCCTTCCCTCATCACGCCAGCCTGCTCCCCTGAAGTCAGCATTTGTTCTCTGTTCCTTCACCTAGCACAAGTCTAGACAGTTCTCATGTTTAGCTGCCCATCAGATTGAGAAGTCCCCAAAGACAGGGATGGATTTTATGCCAACTCAATGTTTGCAGTGCTTGAGAATCTGCAGAGTACTTTCAGATACAATTTCTCAGTAGTTCTTAAATTCCCATCGTAGGCAATGATGTTTTACTACCAAAGAAACATGATAAAAAGTGAGGGAAATGACTGCCTAACAGTCCCATGGCTAATGTCAGAACTTGGATTCAGTCCCAGGAACTTAAGTGTCATCTTTGCCTCAGCGACCTAAGATTTATGTGGGGCAGCTCTCCACCCAGGACCTGCCTGTCATACCATCCCACTGCTCCAGACTTTCCCACGGTTGCCCACCCCGGGCTAGCCCAGGCAAGGCCCTCCTGCCACAAACTCAGGAGAAACAGCAGAGACCTGCTGAGGACACTCACAGAAGGATTGGGTATCTGATGGAAAACTGGCCTCCTTCCAAGACCAATTCCTTCCACTAGCATACTGCAGTCATCTCCTCACAGAGGAAATGTCTTTGTTCTTCCACCTCAAAAGAGCTTCCTTTGCTGGTGCAGAAGGTCCCAGAGAGCAAGTCAGGTTCCTCAGTACTTCCTCCTGCCCCCCACCCTTCTTCCTGGTGTGTCACCTCCCAAGGTGACACCTCTCCTTTAGCTTCAAAGACACTGCCCACTGGGGCTTGGGAAGTAAGAATCAAGAGGGGAGGTGATAGTTCAGAAACAGAAGATTGGTCTCTATATTTCTCAGCTCAAGAGGGCCTGAGACCCTCTAGGACCCTTAGATACCATCTTGGGAAGAATTCCATCCAGGATAGCAGGAGTCATAAGTCAGACCTGCCTCCTCAGACAGGTTGACATTTCTGATCCGCAGTATTATCTTCTTGCTATTAGACTAAGTATGTTAAGCCCTTAGCACCAAGCCTTTACTGAACATCCCTCCTTCAGGCTGTCCTCTACTAACTCAGCTTTGACCTTCTAGTGCCCTCTTTCCGGATGTGGTGAACTGCATGCAGACAGACAACCTGGAACTGAAGAAGCTGGTGTACCTGTACTTGATGAACTATGCCAAGAGCCAGCCTGATATGGCCATCATGGCCGTCAACACCTTTGTGAAGGTGACTAGGAGCTCAGTGGGAGGGGGGACAAGGGTTGCCCACTGCTGCGAGCCAAGGTCCTTGGGCCTAGGATTGGGATGCTGAGGCTCCTTTCCAGACTGTCAGACTGTGTCTGCCTGCACAGGCTGATGGCCAGTTCCTCCAGCAGAGGGCTCCCTATCTTCCCAGAAACTTGGCTGGCTTTTGCGCTGTCTTTGCCAGAGCAGGATTCAGCAAGTGTCTTGAGAGTAGCTCTGTGCTTCTTCCAGATTACCCCCTCTACATTTTCTGTCCCCAGATGAGGATCCAGCTTACATATGGAAAACAGAGTTCTAGTACTAGGCAGCTGTGGGTTTAGATCACGAATCTGCTCTGTGACTTTGGGTGATTTCCCATCTTCCCCAATAGCCTCAGCTTCCTCACCTGTGGAACAGGGCCACAATTGTAATCTGCTGTGAGGATTAGTAAGACAGTGTGCAGATCCCCTGCCATGGTATTTGGTGACCGCTCAGTATCCATCACCTGCCATTTACTTGGGTTCTACTGACCGTGGGAGAGCTGCAAGCTAGGAAGAATAGGAAGCCATAGGTAGCTCATCTGCCCTGCCCTGGCCAATGGCTGGTTCTCCTCAGGACTGTGAAGACCCCAATCCCCTCATTCGGGCCCTGGCAGTGCGGACCATGGGCTGCATCCGAGTCGACAAGATTACAGAGTACTTATGTGAGCCACTCCGGAAGTGCCTGAAGGATGAGGATCCATATGTGCGAAAGACAGCAGCTGTGTGTGTCGCCAAACTCCATGACATCAATGCCCAGCTGGTGGAAGACCAGGGCTTCCTGGACACCCTTAAAGACCTCATCTCTGACTCCAACCCCATGGTAAGCCACTGCCACTCACCATGCCACCTCCTCTGCCTCCTGGGTTGTGTGAGGAGACCTTGGCTTGACTGTCAGCCTGGGTACCCCCAGTTCCTAGAAGTCAGAGTCCCACTGAGTTGCTAATTGTTCCTTGCCTTGTCATAGTTCAGGAATGGTCTCCGCAGGGAACTAGGCCTGAATTCCCTTCTCTGACTTTCTAGTGAGTTGTGTGTCCTCAGGCTTGCTGACCTTCCACAGCTTTCTTCCTCATTAGTAAGAAGGGTCACTTGCTTTATGGCTGCCTGGAGTGCTAGGAAGTGCCATGCCTGGCCTGGCATACAGTATGCATCATTGTTAGCGCCCTCTTCCCCTTCCAGTCACTGTCGTTGTGATGATCTTGTCACCAAAACATCTGAGTGTGATATTCTGAATGTGTGGCTCTTTTCCTTTTCCTTAACATCTTTGCAGAAAGTAAGGGGTCACCCTTGAAGTAGCATACTGTGGAAGGCAGGACACCAGGACATGTTGGGAGGTAGCCTGGGCTCCATCCATGATGATGGCAGCATTTTGCAAGGCACCTTGGCCAGGGTCTATTTACAATGAAGCGCATGCCAGTAGTGTGGCATCACACACCTATGATCCTAGTACTCAGGAAGCTAAGTGAGAAAGGTTGCGAGTTTGAGGCCAGCCTTAGCTACATAGGAAAATATTCTCTCAAGTGTGTGTGTGTATGTGTGTGTGTGTGTGCGCGCACGCGCATATATGCACACTGTTACAAGGACTTGAATTCAAAGCCTTGGTTTTTTTCCCACTTGAGCAATACCTCGAGTCTAGGTTTTTTTTCCTTTTTTGACTTGTAAATTAGAAATGGAATCTTTTTCTGTCCCGGCTAGCTTGGAGCCTCAGCAGCTTCCTGTGTAGCTAGAATTACAAGTGTGAGCCTGAGTGCATCTGGCTCAAAAAAGCTTTTCATAAAAACACAAAAAAACAACCTTTGGCCCAACCCTCCCTTCTCTGTATTCCATAGAAACCCTCATCACACAGACATCCTAAGTTGTCATAGGGAAAAGTGTAAGACCTTGCAGACCACATAGAAGGAGCTGCCTGGTAGCAGTGCAAGTGGGTTCCAGCACAGAGTGTCACCCCACACGCCTGTCTGTGCCCCAGGCATCTGCTCCCAGCGGCCTTACGGGAATCTGCAGGGATCTTCCAGCTCTGACAGCATGTTGACAACTACAGAAATAAGCTGCTATACCTGGTAGTGGGGCTGTCGTGTTGACATCAGGGATGGTTCCCCTTGGCAGGCGTCTGGAGCTGGGCCTTCCTTGGCTTGTTTCTTCCATTTTTGTTGGTGATGATGGTGGTGGTGGTGTTTTTTGGTGATGTTAGGGTTTCAACTCGTGACCTCATTTGCTAGGCAAGTGTGAGGCCCTGAGTTCTACCACTTGAACCAAGTCCCTAGCCCTTGTGATTTTAGTTTGCTTTTCAGATAGTCTCTCAGGCCAGCCTGAGCTGGCCTTAGACCATGATCCTTCTACCCTGCCTCCATACCTAACATTTTTGAAATGGTATCTCAAACACTTTGCTAGAGGCTAGGGCAGTGGCTCAGATCTGTAATCCTAGCTACTCTGGAGGCTGAGATCTGAGGCTCACAGTTCAAGAAGCCAGCGCAGGCTGGAAAGGCCATGAGACTCATCTCTAATTAATCACCAGAAAACTGGAAGTGGAGCTGAGGCTCCTAATGGTAGAGCACTAGCCTTCAGTGAAAGAGCTCAGGGACAGTGCCTAGGCCCTGAGTTCAAGCCCCACACCTGACCAAAAAAAAAAAAAACTGCCCAGGCTGAAGCAGGGCACTCATACCTGTAATCCTGAGGTCTGAGGATTAGGATTCAAAACCATCTCAGGCAGTAAAGTCTGAGTGTTATCTTCAGTTAACAAAAAGGCAAAAGTAAAGCTGTGGCTCAGGTGGTAAAGCACCAGCCTTGAGCAAAAAAGCTAAGGGACACACACACACACACACACACACACACACACACACACGCGCGCGCGCGCGCGCGCGCGCGCGCGCGCGCATGCACGCGCGTGCGCACACACACACACACCTCTCTCACATAGCTGTGATCAGAGGTACACACCACCACACCTGGCTTTGCCTTATTTCTTTTCAATGGCAGCTGTCCTTATTTTAGTTCCATTTTGCCCAGGAGTCAGCAGGGTAAGTGCTTGGAGTAGTTTCCTTGAAACTCCATATCCTGCCTATCAGATCATATTTCTTTCAAGATGTCCCTCCGGTGTCATTAGGTCCACTGCCCCTGCCTGAGCTGTGCCCCAGCCTCTGCTCCTTCCACACTCCCTACCAGGTGGTGGCAAATGCAGTGGCTGCTCTCTCAGAGATTGCTGAGTCCCATCCCAGCAGCAACCTGCTTGACCTGAACCCACAGTCCATCAACAAGTTGCTGACAGCCCTGAATGAGTGCACTGAGTGGGGCCAGATCTTCATCCTAGACTGCCTGGCCAACTACACACCCAAGGACGACCGCGAGGCCCAGAGGTGAGCAGGTCACCCTTGCTTGCCAGCCCAGTGGGACAGCGTCCTCTGAAGGCTCTAACCCTGAGCTGGACCACCTGGGCTGAGTCAGGAGCTGGGTAGCATTGGAGCCATTGTTCATGGAGTTCTCACTGTCTGCCTGGGTCTCTATCCATCCTTGTCTGCCCCTTACAAATGATGAGACTGTTACAAAAGCAGGGAGAATTGTGCAGGTCACCAGGTAGACTCATGAAATCCTTTCCTAGCAGTTAGGGGGAGGGGACAAGCTGACATGGGAAAGGACTGTATGCCAGGCATTTGCTCATTCTGAGCTCAGAATTGTTGAGTCTGTATGGGGTTAATAGGAGACCGCAGATGCTGGATCTAGATCTTCCTTCCACAGGAGACATGGTATTTTGATAAGTAAAAACAGGATGTTTCCCCTTGTCTTTCTCTCTTCTTGCCCTGCTGGAACCCAGTATCTGTGAACGGGTCACACCCAGACTCTCCCATGCCAACTCTGCTGTAGTGCTGTCTGCCGTGAAGGTGCTGATGAAGTTCATGGAGATGTTGTCCAAGGACCTGGACTACTATGGCACTCTGCTCAAGAAGCTGGCCCCACCCCTGGTCACTCTGCTGTCGGCGGAGCCAGAGCTGCAGTATGTGGCCCTGCGCAACATCAACCTCATTGTGCAGAAGAGGTACGGAGACCACCACAAAGGTCCCACACTGGCAACAGGGGCCAAGGGGAAATGACCTGTCAGTATGCAGGAAGTCTAAAGAATGCTTTAGCCAAAGGTTTTTACCCAGGGCACCTTTGCCCCTCAGAGACCCTTTTCATGGTCACAGCTGGAATTGGCTATTGGCCTCTAGTGAGTAGAGGCCAGAGACACTGCTCAGCCTCTTTTAGTACTAGATAGTCCCCCATAACAGGTAACTGATCGGCAGTTCCAAGGTTGAGAAGCTCTGACTTAGCCTAAGAGAGCTGGCTAGGTAAAGGTGAGCATGGGGCTGCTCAGAATGTATGCATATTCCTAGAGTCCATAGCAGTAGTCCCTGAGATTGGAGGCCTCTGAGATGGTGAGGAACCCTTGGACGTGGCATTGACCTGAAGATCTGGGGGAGGTAGAACAGAGTGAGCAGGATGCCGCGCAACCCACTCCCTCCTCCCAGGAAGCTATTTGAGGACACCAGGGAGGGGACCTGGTGCCAGGGTACGGTGGGTCTGAGGCTTCTCAGGAATGATCCTCCTTCCCGTGTGGTAGCTATAAGTGAGCCCTGCCACCTGGTGGGATCAGCCTCCTGAGGAGCACTCCCAGTCTTTTTGTCAGTGGCTCATTCAATAATCAGGGCCTGGCAGTAGTGAGCCCCACTGGTGGGAGCAGATAGGAGACTTATATACAGGCCATCTCTGCTGAAAGCTGGCATGCCTTTTTGTTGTAGTATCAATCTAGTCCTTGAACTGCAGTATTTGTAACTATCACAGGTAACTACAGGAAAACATTCCAAGAGCCTTAACAAAGCAGAGACAGGCTTTATAGTTACAGTGTGGGTCTACACACCGTTGCCCTTGGGTCACTGGATTTGTTAGAATGGAGGGACTCGCAGATCCAGATCAGCTATATTTAACATGATAATCTCTTAAGAAGTTGTCCATGTCACCAGGCATGACCTGGGCCAGGCCTGATAAGTGGTTGGGCAGCTTCTGCTACATCCTGAGTGCAGAAGTCATTCTACTCTCCAGCTTGGTGTCTTGCCTCCTACCCAAAACAACACAAAGCCTGCTGGTGTGGCCAGGTCCTCCTCGCAGCTTGTGCTGCAGCACTGAGGCCAGGGGTTCCTCCTTACCCCATTTTCTCCCTCCTTACCTTCTGTCCTCCCTTTTCCTAAGGGGAGAAAAACGTTTTATATATTCACTTTGTTGTTGTTGCTGCTGCTTGTGCTGGTCCTAGGGCTTGAACTCAGGGCCTGGGCACTATCCCTGATCATTTTTTGCTCAGGATAGTGCTGTCCCACTTAAGCCACAGCTCTGCTTCCAGCTTTTTGATAATTAGTTGAAGATAAGTGTCTCATGGACTTTCCTGAATCGCAATCCTCAGATCTCAGCCTCCTGAGTAGCCAGGGTTACAGACATGAGCAACCAGCAACCAGCATTTTCCTTTTGGTTTTTTATATTACTGGTTTCTCTTCTGGAAAGGGCATGGGAGTGGGAGTCAGGGTGATGACTCAACATGCTTCTTTTATTAACATGTGACTGCTGTAAGCCTCATAACCCCTCTGAGCTTCCTTATCTTAGAACAGTGTGGCGGGTGGTGCCATTGGAGGGCAGCAGGGCAGGCTCTTAAGGGAGGAGCTGTATGTAACATGCTCTGGAAAGCTCAGCCTGGAGCACCTCCTCTGACACATATGGGTCCATCATGTTAGGTTCCTCATTACACTCTCACAAATGGCTTGTTGTATGGGTGGCTGTGGTGGGGTTCCCAAGACTTCCCGCCCCCCCCCCCCAAGCACAGATTCACTGGCAGGTCTCAGCTTATAATTCGAATGACTGAGACTAATGAGAGCAACATAGAAAGAGGTATCTTCTTGGGTCTCCCTCTTTTTTTGGGGAAGGGAGAATCGAGCATACTCTTCCCCTAGCAACAGAAAGTAGCAACACGTGTGGATCGTTTCTGCCCACAGGAACCTAATTGAGACTCAGCATTGAAGGTTTTTTTTTTTGGGGGGGGGGGTCCGGTCGTGGGACTGAACTCTGGGCCTGGGCGCTGTCCCTCAGCTCTTCAGTTCAAGGCTAGTGCTCTACCACTTGAGCCACAGTGCCACTTCCAGCTTTTTTCTTTTTGCTTATGTGGTGCTGAGGAATCGAACTCAGGGCCTTAGGCATGCAAGGCAAGCGCTCTACCACTGAGCCACCTTCCCAGCCCCAGCATTGAAGGTTTTCATTGGGGACACCCATCAGATTTTCAGATTCCCAGAAGGAAAGCAATATTATTTGTACAAATAGCCACCTTGATTGGTCCGGGACCAGGACAAACACTACTAAGATGTTAGACCTAGCAGATTCAGGCCTGGGGGGTAATGCCTTTCTGCGAGGGTCATCCTCATTTTATGGGTTAGGAAACAGGCTGAGGTTGGAGCCCTTACCTGCTGCTTACTGCCCTTGACTGTGAACTGTCTTGCCTCTTCTATGCCCAAGATCTGATCACACTTGTAATAACCAGGCAGAGCCTCCACTGGCACATGTAGCCCAACAATGGCTCTACCTACCTGGACCTCAGGCTACACTTCAGCCCTCAGCAATGACCCAGCAAAGTGAAAGGGTTTTCTCACAGGCCTGTGCCTTGCTTATGCTTTCTGGGCATCCTGCCCTGCCACCAGGCCCGAGATTCTGAAGCACGAGATGAAGGTTTTCTTTGTGAAGTACAATGACCCCATCTACGTGAAGCTGGAGAAGCTGGACATCATGATCCGCCTGGCCTCCCAGGCCAACATTGCCCAGGTGAGAGAGTGGTGGTCCAGGCACAAGCTTGAGTGTTTAACAATGCCATTACCCACTGGCTGTGGTGTCTGCATTGGTCTATCATGCTTACCACTAACAGGTCATCTCATGGAGAGTTTACCACAGGGCCCCAGGACTTTGTAAGCAAGGGAAAAAATCTGGTAGAATCTTCTCAAGCTGAACATGATGATGCATGCCTACAGCCCCAACTACTTGGGAAGCAGAGGCAGAAAGATCTTTTTTCTCTTTTTTTCCCCAATTCTAGGGCTTGAACTCAGGGCCTGGGCACTGTCCCTAGCTTCTTTTTCTTTTTTTTTGTCGCGGGTCTTGAACTCGGCTTGAGTGCTGTCCCTCAGCTCTTCAGCTCAAGTCTAGCATTATACCACTTGAGCTACAGGACCACTTCCAGTTTTCTGAGTGGTTTATTGGAGATAAGAGTCTCACGGACTTTTCCTGCCCGGGCTGACTTTGAACCGTGCTACTCAGATTTCAGCCTCCTGAGTAGCTAGGATTACAGGTGTGAGCCACCAGTGCCCAGCTGTTCCTAGCTTCTTTCACTCAAGGCTTGCACTCTACCACTTGAGCCTCAACACCATTTCTGGCTTTTTCTGAGTATGTGGTACTGAGGAATCAAACCCAGGGTTTCATGCATGCTAGGAAAGCACTCTACCAGTAAGCCACATCCCCAGCCCCAGAAAGGTAATTTAAGCCTACAAATTCCAAACTAGCCAATCAGCATAAGTCCTCTTTAAACAAACAAACAAAAAATACTCCCTATTTTCCTTAATACCTATCATGAAAAGGTGGTGATAGAGTACTGGTTTAACATACAAAGACCCTGGGTACACAAAGAAGTAGTAGTAGTAGTTGGATATGTTAGCTAGATCAGTGTAAAACAAGGGTGTCCAGAGGGGCTAAGTCTGACCAACATGCATTATATGCATGTGTCATGCATCGTACACATGTCAAAATGAAACTCCCTTGTACAATTAATTGATGCTTAATAACAAATGTGGGGTGAGGAGATGTCCAGCCCTGCCAGCCAGCTGTTCCCTACTTCCCTTTTGGAATAACTTCCTGTTAAAGCATCTGTCATCTCTCTCCCTGCTCTTGGCCTTCCACCTTGAACAGAAAGCAGTTCTGACACTACATGCCCATTACCCAGGAGTGCTCCAGTAGGTTATCTAGTTAGATCCCACCAAACCTTTTATCTGTTTGAGCTGTAGGTGTTGGCAGAGCTCAAAGAATATGCAACAGAAGTGGATGTGGATTTTGTACGGAAAGCTGTGCGTGCCATTGGCCGCTGTGCCATCAAGGTGGAGGTAAGGAGGCTCTGGGATTTGCCCCCTTAGCAGGGGAAGGGAAGGGAGAGCTGCAACCAGGAAACCAGTGTGATCCTAGCAGAGTCTATCAGCTGTCTGTGATCCAGTAAGGCCAGGGTTGCCACCACAACCCCCATTGTGCCTGTTGAAGAGACCTGGCAGAGCACCTTCATACATTGAAGCCTCAGATGAAATTACTCATCATAGGCTAGGAAGGTAGCTCAGTGGTAGAGTGCTTGCCTAGTATGCATGAAGCCCTAGGTTCAATTTCTCAGTGCCAAATACACAGAAAAAACGAAGTGGCGCTGTGGCTCAAGTGGTAGAGTGCTAGCCTTGAGCAAAAAGAAGCTCAGGGACAGCGCCCATGCCCTGAGTTCAAGCTCCAGGACTGGCAAAAAAAAAAAAAAACTGATTATAGTCAGGGTGCTGCAGCATTCTCTAAGATGATGGGGCAGCCCCCAGCCAGTGGGCCTGGCCATTTGGGCACTTTTGCATGTATATCAGTTTACTGCCATGGGCCTCTTTCCCAAGCTCCGTAGGCCACCCTATACCCTGTGTCCCGGCACTTCATCTCCTCCTTGTCTAAGGAGAGGTTTTTTTGATCACTGACCTGGACTCTCCTTAAACTGGCCTGCTATCCTGGGACAGCTCAGACCCTCGAGGCATTTTATGCCGGCTCCCCAGTTGCATAGTGTGTGGGGTTAAGGGTAGGAGGGGGTCCAGCAGAGACTTGGTGGTTTTGGTTGCAGGACCCTATTTTATGAAATAGCAAGAGAAGTTTGGTCTGGCTGAAGTGAATACTCTGCCATAGGCTGAAGCCCTCCCCACTCAGGAGCCCAGCCTCTGGCTTCTCCATAGTCTCATTTTATCCCCTATGTCTGCACCACCCAGGTGGCTCTTGTTCCCCACCTTCCCATTGTGGGGGAGAGTGTTCTGTTCTCACCCTGTGATGAGGAAGGTAGGCAAGGAAGATTGCCAGGAGCTTGGTGTAGCATGTTCATCTGTGGCTATACTGGAAATGGGTACCCCACACCCTTCTCCTCTTCCCATGCAGCAGTCTGCAGAGCGCTGTGTGAGCACACTGCTTGATCTCATCCAGACCAAGGTCAACTATGTGGTCCAGGAAGCCATTGTGGTCATTAAGGATATCTTCCGCAAGTACCCCAACAAGTAGGTTCCCAGCCCTCCTGGTGTGAGGGTGATCTGGCTCTGCTTGAAGACAGAGTAGTGGCTTCCCTCCTTTGCTGCCATAAACAGCATGCTCAGAAGAAACCCTTCACTTTCCTTTCCTTCTTTCCCTGAGCTGGACCTCCTCTGCTTCCCAGGCCAAAATAATAGCATAGTAGTATATATTCGTGATCCTAGCACTCAGGAGGCTGAGACAGGAGATCTCAGAGTTTGAGGCCAGAGTCCTACATAGCAAAACCTTGCCTCCAACAAACAAGCAAAGAAAGGAGTTAAGCTATTGGCGGCTAAAACACATTTCCTGTCCCAGTGGCCTACCTCGGCTGGCTCCTCCCTCCCCGCCCCTCACCCCTGCAGCTGCTGGGGCTTCCCTGTGGTTCACTTGTTGGCTGTGCCTGCTCTCGCAGATATGAGAGTGTGATTGCCACACTGTGTGAGAACCTGGACTCCCTGGATGAGCCCGAGGCCCGGGCTGCCATGATCTGGATTGTGGGCGAGTACGCAGAGCGCATCGACAATGCAGACGAGCTGCTGGAGAGCTTCCTGGAGGGCTTCCACGATGAGAGCACCCAGGTGAGAGGGCGCCCAGGAGAGCTCTGGCATGAGTCCTGACTGACAGCCCAGCCTCTGGAGCTCATGCTGACCTCAAGCCCGCTCGCAAACCAAAGTGCCGTGATGTGGGTGCCCCATACAGCCTCTTTCAGTACACAGCCCCAGACTGCCTTGGGGATAGAAGATGGCCCACATTTTCTGGTTCTGTTGTAACTTCATATTTATATTTGAATAGATGACACATGGGCTTGGTTCAGAATTGAAAAGTTACAGAAGGATATACAGTGGAAAATCACCTTTGAACTACTTTCCTGGCCACTTTTCCTCCCAGAGCCACTAATTTCTTGACAAGGATATTCAGACTTTCTACACCAGCAATAGACACTTCATGTGGGTTCCCATGAAGTTGATCTCATTATCCATGGCACCTGTGTTTTGAATTAGGACTCACTAGAGAAATAAGGTTAGGTTCTTACAAGTGGCTAATTGCAACATTCTTATCAACTGATTGATCCATAACCTTGTTTTATATATGTTTGTTTTTAAAGACACCTTATTTACTACATAGTGACTTTTTTGCTTTTTCGGTCAGTCATGGGGCTTAAACTCAGGGACTGACCACTGTTGCTGAGCCTTTCTGCTTAAAGCACATGTTCTACCACTTTGAGCCACAGCTCCACTTCTGGTTTTCTGGTAGTTAATTGGAGATAGAGAGTGTCATGGACTTTCCTGCCCAGGCCGCCTTTGAACCGCAATCCTCAAATCGCAGCCTCTCCAGTAGTAAAGATTACAGGCTTGGCTGGGAAGGTGGCTTAGTGGCAGAGTGCTTGCCTACCATGCGTGAAGTCAGTTCCTCAGTACCACATAAACAGAAAAAACTGGAAGTGGTGCTGTGGCTTAAGTGGTAGAGTGCTAGCCTTGAGTGAAAGAAAGCTCAGGGACAGAGCCCAGGCTCTTGAGTTTGAGCCCCAGGACTGGCACACACACAAAAAATGATTACATGCCTGGGCTGGGAAGGTAGCTTGCCTTGCATGCATGAGGCCCTGCATTCGATTCCTCAGCACCACATAAACAGAAAAAGCCGGAAGTGGCGCTGTGGCTCAAGTGGTAGAGTGCTAGCCTTGAGCTGAAGAGCTGAGGGACAGCGCGTAGGCCCAGAGTTCAGGCCCCACGACCAGACCCAAAAGAAAAAGAAAAAGATGACATGCCTGAGCCACCAGCACCAGGTTGTTTTGTTGTTGTTTTTTTTTCTTTTTTCGTGGGACTTGAACTCTGGGTCTGGGAGCTATCCCTCAGCTCTTCAGCTCAAAGCTAGCACTCTACCACTTGAGCCACAGCACCACTTCCGGTTTTCTGAGTGGTTTATTGGATATAAGAGTCTCATGGAATTTCCTGCCCTGGCTGACTTTGAACTGCGATCCTTAGATCTCAGCCTCCTGAGTAGCTAGGATTACAGGTGTGACCCACCAGGACCCAGCATTGGGTATGCTTCTTAAAGGGACCATCTGTCAATAAGTGGCAATCTTAACTACTGGAGAGGCTGAGATCTGAGGATTGCGGTTCAAAGCCAGCCCAGGCAGGAAAGTCCATGATACTCTTACCTCCAGTTAACCACCAGAAAACCAACCAGAAGTGGAGCTGTGGTACTAAGGAATTGAACCATGCTAGGCAAGCACTCTACCACTAAGCCACATTCCCAGCCCTGATTTTTTTTAATTAATTTACTTTATTGTTATTATAGAGGTGATGGGTATAAAAGGGTTATAATTACATGAGTATGTTTATTTTCATACAGTGTCTTCTGTTCCCCTCATTCTCTCCCAGTCCCTCCTCCCATCTCTACCCACGAGTTGTGTAGTTGACTTTCATCAATGTCCAGTGAGATCCACTGCTGCACTTTTTCATCCTTTTTCCCTCAATTTCTGTACCCTCCCCAGCATAATGATTCTTTAACGTTGAACTCCTAGCCAACCGTGTTGTAACATGTTAAGCAAAACTTATCTAGCACATAGATTTGCTCTGAGTGGCAAAAACTAGAGCCTTTATGTGATTAGGAACACTAGGCAAACATTATACTTAGGTGACATTTTACACAAAGAAATCACCAACAAAAAACTCAAGTAAAAGCTGGCTTTGATGGATCATGCCCAGGTAATTAATCCTAGTTAATCTCAGCTTCCTGGCTGAGATCTGATCACAGTTTGAAGCCATCCTTGACAGGAAAGTTTATGAGAGTTTTTTGTTGTGGTTTTGGTTTTGGTCCTGAGGCTTGAACTCAGGGCCTGGGCACTTTCCCTGAGCTCTTTTTGCTCAAGGCTAGCACTTTACCACTTTGAGCCACAGTGCCATTTCTGGTTTTCTGTTGGTTAATTGGAGATAAGAGTCTCATGGACTTTACTGCCTAGGCTGGCTGTGAACTGTGATCCTCAGGTCTCAGCCTCCCAAGCAGTTAGGATTACAGGCTTGAATCCCTGGCACCCAGCTTGTGAGACTCTTTTTTTTGGGGGGGGAGTCCGGTTGTGGGGCCTGAACTCTGGGCCTGGGCACTGTCCCTCAGCTCTTCAGCTCAAGGCTAGCGCTCTACCACAGCACCACTTCTGGCTTTTTTCATTTTGCTTATATGGTGCTGAGGAATTGAACCCAGGGCCTCAGGCATGCAAGGCAAGCGCTCTACCACTGAGCCATCTTCCCAGCCCCAGCTTGTGAGACTCTTTTCTTGAATTAACCACAAATGCTGGAAATGGAGCCGTGATCAAGTGGTAGAGTTCTAGCCTTGAGTGAAAAAGCTAAGGGACTGCGCCCAGATTCTTAGTTCACCCCAAGACTGGTACCAGAAACAAAAAATTTCAAAAAAAGGAAAATATGACACTAGATAAACTTTGAAAAAGATGCTTTTTAACAGTATGAGAAGTCAAACAGTACTGTAGAGCACACTCTACCTCAACTTGGAATGTATCTGTCAGGTGGTTGTAGTGTTCCCTAGTTTGCCTAAACCTGTGAATGAGTACTGTTTCCAGGGCTACAAGGAGGTTTTAGCAAGTAGGTACATGCACAGATATGGACTATAAATAATGATGGTCCTTTATATATGTATTTCCCTCTCACTTTTTTTTTTTTTTTTGTATGCCAGTACTGAGGCTTGAACTCAGCTGTGAGCACACAGCTTTTTCACTCATGACTGCTGCTCTACCACTTGCGCTACACTTCAGTTCTGGCTTTTTGAAGGTTACTCAGAGATAAAAGTCTTACAGTTGTCTACCTGGGCTGGCTCTGAACCTCAGGTCAGCCCCGTGGGTAGCTGGTGTGAGCCACCAACACCTGGCAGTCTTTTCTGCTCTTTTAATTAACAGTACTGCAATAACTAGGCAGAGTGATGATGAAGGGTTGGAGGAAACTGTAGAAGCGTAGGGGCTGGACTAGGATCAGCATGTACTATGAAGGAGAAATGCTAGCCTTGCTGGTGGAGGACCAGGCAGAGACACCTTTCACCCTCTATGGCAGGCTGGCTCTGTGAGCTCATCCCTTGACCTCAGTGACACTATTACCACTTGTTGACAGATGGTCCCTTTAAGAAGCATACCCAATGCTGGGTGCTGGTGGCTTACACCTGTAATCCTAGCTACTCAGGAGGCTGAGATCTGAGGATCACAGTTCAAAGACAGCTGGGCAGGAAAGTCCATGAGACTCTTTGTTAACCACCAGAAAACCAGAAGTACAACATTAGCCTTGAGCAAAAGAGCTCAAGGAAAGAACCCAGGCCCTGAGTTCAAGCCCCTCAACCATCACCAAAAAAAAAACCAAAAAACGAAGAAGCATACCAGCCACAAGTATTGCCTTTCACAGCTGTAAACTTGCCAAGGACTAGGCTGCTCAGCAGCATCCATACCCTGCTGTCTTTGCCTGTATTCTGTAGTTAACACCAAGCCTGTAGGAGCTCTTCCAGGCTTCCAGAGACCTCAGAACCCCATCTACAATGTGCCTACCTTGCTCTCCATCTCTCTGCAGGTCCAGCTGCAACTGCTCACAGCCATTGTGAAGCTCTTCCTGAAGAAGCCCACAGAGACCCAGGAACTGGTGCAGCAGGTCCTCAGTTTGGCTACTCAGGTGGGTGACCCACCTACCCAGCATGCCTTGCACAGACCCCACACAGACATTGCTCCAGCAAGGGAAAATGTGGACCCAGGAACTAGTCTTTCCTCTGAGTGGCATGTGTGGGGTTTGGCTCCAGAGTAACCCCAGTCCTCAATCTGCAGGAGTCAGAGTTGCAGGGTGCAGGGTCAAGGGGTGAAGTTGAAGCAGACTGTAAATACAGATGGGGAAGGCATGGGAACCAGAAGACTTATGGGAGGGCAGACACAGAGGGTAGCTAGGAGTGGAGACAGGAGTGAGTATGGCCTGCTTAGACTGGCTTCAATAGAAAACCAAAGAGAGTGAGCTGGGAGCTGCTGGGACATGTCAGCCTAATAGCCATGCTCAACATGGCTGTCATTGCCAGCCTTGTGAGCATACCTGGAAGCTGGGGCTGGGGTTGTGGGGGAAGCCCCTCCCCTCCCCCGTTTGCAGAGGACTTTCACAGGCTCTCCACATGCTCCTCAAGGACTCAGACAACCCGGATCTGCGAGATCGTGGCTACATCTACTGGCGCCTGCTCTCCACGGACCCAGTGGCTGCCAAGGAGGTGGTGCTGGCCGAGAAGCCTCTCATCTCCGAGGAGACAGACCTCATTGAACCCACACTGCTGGATGAGCTCATCTGCTACATTGGCACGCTGGCCTCTGTCTACCATAAGCCACCCAGCGCCTTTGTGGAGGGCGGCCGGGGTGTGGTGCACAAGAGCCTCCCACCCCGCACTGCCTCGTGAGTGCAGTCAGCTGGCGGGTCTGCGCCACCCACCCGCTCCCTCTGTTCAGTAGCTGGGTGCTAGCTTCATGTGACAGCCCCTGTCAAGGGCTGATTTTGACCTTTTAGACACTGCTTAACTGCACATGAGGTGTCCACTAGATGTCCTCATTTGATCATATCAGTGAATGATGAGGACTGTGGTGTGGAGTGTTTCAGTGGCCAGTCCAAGATCCCACAGTTGGCAGAGTCCAGGCTGAGGTCCCATTATGTCCAGTTCCAGAGCCCCGTTCCCACCACCTCTGCTGTAGTTCCCAAGTGGCTGGTTTGGCCTGGGGACTGGCATCCAGTTTTCTCTAGCATGGCCTCTCCTTTGGGTCAGCCATGAGGGGGATGTGGCCATCATGTGGATGGCCCTCTGTGGGACAGCAAGTGGGAGAGCCAGTACTTGTTTTAGGAAAGATCTTGAATGCGAGGGTCTCTTGGACTTCACTAGGACCCCCCAGCATACCCACCAACTGACCTTCCCCTGTGTCTGGCAGGAGTGAGAGCACAGAGAGCCCTGAGACAGCCCCTGCAGGAGCCCCTCCTGGAGAGCAGCCTGACGTCATCCCCGCCCAGGGCGACCTGCTAGGGGACCTCCTCAACCTGGACCTCGGCCCCCCAGTGAGCGGTCCACCATTGACCACCTCCTCAGTGCAGATGGGAGCTGTGGACCTTCTCGGTGGTGGCCTGGACAGCCTGGTATGCTGTGGTGATGTTGGTAATGATCTTTGGAGGAGCAGTCATTGGACACCATGTCCCTCGTGCTAGACACCAGGCAGGGGCTATGGGTGCTCTATATACAGACTCAGTCTCTCCTTGAAGTCTGTGTAGCTCCCAGCTCCCTACTCACAGATGGGAAAAGACAACATGGCTACAGAGGTCGAGCCACGAATGGTCCCTTTCTGGACTACTTAGCGTCAGTTTTATCTCCTTCCACCATTGCCTTGTGAAGACGTTTCTGGCTCTGAAGAATCAGAGGTGTGCTCACTCACCCCAGACTACATCAGCTTGACAAAGCATTCCAGCCAGGCCTCTCTGAAAGACCTTGGTAAAAAGCAGTGGTGAGCTGGAGCCAGGGTCCTAGGTGTTATCAGGCAGTTGGTGGGGCTAGGTAGACCTTTCTTTGGCCCTGCCTCACTCAGAAGCCCAGGCTGCAGCCCTGGACAGGAATCTGACAATCAGTGCTAGCAGGCAAAGGTACAAAGGGGTGAGGTATAGGATATGATGGTGGTGGGTGTAACCATGGGAGTGATGACCATATACTCCTCTGCTGGAGCCACAGCTAACTAATCTTCTCCCTCTTTTTCTCTCTTGTCTCCATGTATCGTCTCTGCTGGCTTTTCTCTCTGCATGTTGCTGCCTGTTCTCTTCACCCTGCCTGCTTCTGCTTGGAGATGGGGGATGACCCTGAAGGGGTATGGTTCAACTCTCTCCTCAAGCTCTTATTCCTGCTTCTAGAAGCATGGGCCCAGCTTCCTCAGGGACAGGCAGTGTCATAGCAGCCCCTCATGAGCTCAGGCCTGTGCTTGCGTTCTTGTAGTTTCTGCTTTGACCTCCTGGCATCCAGTTGCCACTGACCCCATACTATGAACTCTTCACTGCGTCTTCTCTGCCCCCATGACAGACTGCCTTGTCATCCTGAGGGTTGCTGACCTTCATCCCATAACCTCTGTCTCAGAGGAGAGTGTCTGTGTGCTTAGCACCTGCCACCCCTCAGATTCCCCTTTTGGCCATGGGCTGAGTCCCTTCCCAGGGATCACTTCCTAAGATTCAAGGCTCATGAAACTGGGCCCCTTCTCCACTACTTCACTCCTTGTGTCTACAGTGTAGAAGTGCAGAGCACATGTGAGGGCTGCCCCCCACCTCATTTTCTAAAGTGTCTATCACTCCTTAAACCCTGATGTTTCTGTTTCTCCTTTTTCTTTCCAGATTGGGGACAACAACTTTGGGGCACCCCCAGCAGCAGCAGTACCTGCCAGAGTAGGTGCACCCATCGGCAGTGGCCTAAGTGACCTGTTTGACTTGACCAGTGGTGTGGGTACCCTGTCAGGCTCATATGTGGCCCCCAAAGCAGTAAGTACCTTTCCTTCTCTTGTGGCAGAAGCTGAAAAAAGTCCTAGACTGGTTTGGGGCCTCTGTGGTGCATGCTGGGTTATGGGGCCAAGCCAGTGCTAGTAAGGAAAGCTAGGCCATGGCAAAGGAATTGTTGCCAGGTGGGGCTGGGGTGTAGGGGAGGGTATCCCAGGCAGAGACTCACAAAGCTCAGCCTGTAGGATAGTCAGCTTAGCTGAGCAAAAGCAGGATAATAGCCTGTGACCAGTCTTAGAGGAAGAGCAGTCAGTCTTCTCAGGGCACTTGTGCCATTCAGACCCAGTGCCTCGCTCTCTGAGGACAGTTTTCCCTATCCCTAAAGGAAAGACTGAACCATCTGCCCACACATAAGAATCCAAAAAAAATCTGGGACCATCACTACACGAAGAGCACCAAAAGAAGGGAAGAGTACAGGTTTCAATGTTGTAAACACCGGCATGCCCAACTGCACCAGGAGAAGTTCCAACATGCCACCATGACAGTGGTGTACCATTAGTTTCCAAAGAGGTTACCAATTCCTTCCTGGTAAAAGTGTGAGCATGACAGAGCGTACCCCCCTCCCATCCCCAAGTCACGATCCTTGAAACTTCAAGGTGGACATGTGTATATCTGCCTGTAGATAAGCCATGCAGAACAGGCCCAAGGGTGCAAGACAGCTGCATGTCATCCCCATGGCAAAAGGCCCAACATCCCTGTCTCCACCCTAGATGACGTAATGGCCTCTATTTGCCACCTGGAGATACCCACAAGTACCAGCTATGTCCCAAGGACACTACTCCCAGACTCTGGCTAGACCACAGATTAGTAAGGAAAGAACCCAGAAAGTTCTCAGAGCTCCCTGAGCCTCTGCTCTTTAGATACAGCAGGGTCTTGAGCTGGGCCTCTAGCCAGGTTCTTTGTATGTGCCAGTACTATGGCTTGAACTCAGAGTCTAGGCACTGTCCTTTAGCTTTTTCACTTAAGGCTAGTGCTCTGCTACTTAAGAAACCACAGCTCACCGGGCGCTGGTGGCTCACACCTGTAATCCTAGCTACTCAGGAGGCTGAGATCTGAGGATCGC